AAAAAAAAAAATTAAACTAGTTAATTGGTATTGAGTGATTTGACCTAGTAACCAATTTAATCTGTACCAAATATTGTTTGAAAATCTTTTAATTTCTTTTGTCCTTTAGAATTCAAGATACGGGTGTACTTGTTGATTGCTTACCTGTAATTACAAAAAGGTGAGTTTTTAAATATAATAAATTAATATCAGATTTTCTAAAGTCAATTTCTTTACTTTAACCGAATGTTTCTTTTTTCCTATCTTAGCCTTCAAGATGAGAAATCAAGTATATCACTTGGCTGTTGTGTGGACCTCCTACCACTAGTAAAAAATGTACTTAAAAGTAAATATGAAGAGTAAGTATCCTGTAGTACGTGCACTGTCTACTCAGTTGTACACACTTTTCATTCTCGTAGAGCCAAGTTCCAGTGATGATTTAAGGTTCCACATAGGGACTAGTGTGGAGCAGGAGTCAGGATTGTAGAACATTCATGGGTTCAAGAACCCAGGTGCATATTGCTTGGAGTAAGTAGAATAAAGTGCCTTGTACAAGAACACAATGGTAGTATTAGACTTGAAACTCTACATTGCATCAGTCTTTTCTGGCACTAGAAAATTATTAGTTCATGTGCCTAGTGCAAATACTGTTGTTTTATGTGCGAGTAAGTTAATTATATTGCTGTAGTTATACAAGCTTTATAAATAGAAATTACCACTGCTCAGGCTTAACATGCATCCTATTTTATCTTCAGTATATTTCATGTTAAAGCAATCAGGACAATACCCATGCCTAGGAAACACTTAGGTTTGTGAATGACTTAAGGCATAAATGTGGTTTACTATTGAATTTAAAATATTTATCTTGTCTTGAGTGATATTAGTTATCTGCTACACACTGTGGATCAATGCTTACGTTTGCTGTTCAGTTTACTATCTTGTTTTTCACAGTTAAAAGCTTTTCAAAGTTTGTCTTCAAAGCTACAATTACAGTGATATAATTTTGTGAAAGAAATAAAATACTATAAATCTAATTAAACAATATTGTAGGTTTTGACAGAAATTTGCAAATACCGTAGATGTATCAAGGTTTGACCAACGGTTGTTCTTTCAACAGTGTTTGTTATTTAAATGTTGTTTTAATGACTACTAGTGCCAGAAACACAATCCTCAAATTACTTAAGGACCCAGAAAACCTGCCATGTACTTTATGTAGGTGGAGCATTGTGTTAGATTTATTTAAATATAAATCAAATACCATCTTGAAAGGTACACATTGACAGAGATGGACCTGGCATTTTAAGGTTACCATGAATCAGTGAAGATCAAGCTCTGTTAATGAGCAAAACCAGTATCAGTGCAACATCTTAGTGTGCACATACAGTACTGCTGCTCCATGATGCTTTAGCTTATTTGTATCACTTATTGAACACATGTAACTATGTAATTTATGTAATAGGTTTTCACTGTCCTTTTTAATGGAGCAGGTCCTGTTTAATACTAATATGTATTGAGTCTAGTGAGTCATTTCTTTGTTCCCTACACAAAGATTTTCTGTAATGTGTTCTTTGTTTTTAGTTACATAAGATCACAATTAAGTTATAAATGTCTTCTATCAAATTGATTCAAACTCGCCTTAAGGGGTGACGTCCTAATTGAGCCAGATTGAAAACAGCATGTTGAATTCTGGTAGGAGTGCTAAACAGGCACTCACATCAGTGAAACTCAAATAAACATTTTTAAATTTGGCATTGTTTCAGTTTTGGTAAACAGGAGATTACTGACCCTTAGGCTGTTTAGTTTTAAAGTGATAGGTCTGTTAGTCAAATCAAGAGCATGATTCTTTAAAACTTTTATTGTCCTTCAGAGACAGTTAATTGGAAGAACTGTTCTGCCAAATATCATTTAGTGTCTGTAGCTGTTGTCAGAGCAACAATTTCTAGATTTCTGCACTGATGTGCTTCCTTTGGAAAACCTGTCAAGCTGTGCATTTATAAACACTGAATTAAGATCAAGATGTAATAGTGAATTTTATTTCAACTGAATAAACATCTTGCATTATGTATTTCAGATACCTGATAGTTGGTTTACTCTGGGTTCAGTCTGTTATTAAAAAATGGTGGCCAGAACTATCTGCAAATGGCAGAAATGCTCGGGATAGCCATTCTGAGGATAGGTAAGGTTGTGCTGTATTTTTCTTGAGGTTTTAAAATCCCGACTTCTGTTTCACACATTTTATATCACCCTCCACTTAATTCTAATTCAACCTGTTCTTGGTTTCTGTTTAGTTTAATTGTAGGTTTTCAATAAGGGGAAAACTGAAAATAAGAAAAAGCACAGTTTAGACAATGTAAGAAAAAGGTTACAAGCTTTTTAGGCATTGTACATTAGTTTTGTTACATCATGGAGTTTGTAGCCATGAGCCAAGACATTTGGTAATTCCATGAACTGGGTTGAACAAAAATGTAAAGATTCTAAAGAGTTGTACTGATGAGTGTGGTGTATAACATATTCAAAGAACTCTTAAACACTTAAAAAATCTGTACATGAGTGTAGTCTTCCAAAGTAAAAACTGCCACTCTTTAGACGGTGTCTCTAACACAGTAATAAAAAGGAATGTTGAAAGGTTTTGTAAAGTCTTATCCACAGTTTAAATAACATTGTTTCTCCCTTAGGAATATTGGAATTATGAAGCAGCAGTTACGTGAACTGTGGGAGGAGGGAAAACATTTATGTTGTGTTCCAGGAAATACAGGTGACATAGCAAAGGTATATGCAGACATAAAAAACATCTTATAAAATTATAAATATTCTATTACTCACTAGATATTATTGTTACAGTTTTACCCATTCTGTTGAAAACTGCTCTTTGGCTATTTTTATAAGGATGCCTCATTGAGTTCCAGATTGCAGTAGAGATGTTAAACATTCTATTGTGTTAATTTGTATTTAGCCTCTGGAAGCAGTGTACTTGTGGATGTATTTGTGAAAATAATAAATTTTGGATTGTGATTAAACACTACTGAACTGCTGTATGTATCAAAACACTCAAGAAATCTTTTGTATTAATGTCCACATTGCTTTATTACATGACTTTTAAGGATTAGTTAATTGTGGCTTTAACATTAAAAATGTACAATTATAAAATTAGCTACTGTGATTATTTTTTAAACGTTTTTTTCTTTGTTTTCCAGACTGTGGAATCCTATTTATCACAGCTGCGGTGATCTCTAAATGTAGCACATAGGGAAAATAACCACTCCTTGCACTTGTTGCAGTTCTCTAAAGCTGCTTTTCAACTCCACAGTGGACTCTTGAGACTCCACATTGAAATAGTGTGGCTCCTGAAAGCATAGCAACACTGGGATTGAAGCTGAACCAAGAACTACACTTATACTCCCATTGAGGAAAAAAAACAGTAAAAAAGCCTTCCATTAATTGCAAATGACTGCTTCATATTGAAGTGGAAATTTTGCTTAAGGGCACATTTGACTCCATGAGATGAAAGACACTGAATTGATGTTGAAATCCAAGCTGTTAAATGAAGTGCCAAGCTATTTTCAGCACAGCATTGTTTTGCCATATTATGTGCATTTGTATATAGATGAATGTAATAAATGTACTTAAGTTACAAAATCCTGCAGTGAAGAGCTTGAAACTATATCAAAGCATCTTTAAATTATTAGAACATTTGCCTGTTTGTGGAAAAAAAAACATACTTGACTATGTACATAGTACTGTTCTTTTAATCAACAATTAAATAAATTTGCAAAGAATATGATGTGATATAAAAATGTTCAATCAGTAACTAAAAGTGGGGGGAAATTACAAGTATCACTACTGTCAGTCTCACATATATGGAATGTCAAAATAAAATATTTGTTCCGTTACACGTGGATGACATTTAACAATTGTATCATGTCAGAGGTTGGGACACAACAGTCCAACCCTTAGCTGTGACAGCATGTATAACTGTTTTTAAGAAGAAAAGGTGGTGCTACCTAACGACACTATAAGAGTTGTAGTGCTTTTTAAAAATCACATTGCTGCATGTTTCTCAGTACACAATCTTTATATTTCTTCAAGGAAACAATCTGTAAGCTGTGTGGTCCCTTTAAAAGCCATGCTTAACCAAATTCATTTTGACAACCCTCTGCTTTCCGACGAGGGGGGTGGGTGTTGAGATAGAAGAAAGTGTCAGTAAAGTTTGTTGCAAAAGTAATCCTGTGGTCTTAATTTTATAGTCTTAATGCATTATGTAATAGCAGATCCACATTTGTTGCACTTGTAAAAATACTAACCAGCAATACGTTTTATAAGTATTTGCTTTTTTAAAACAGTAGAAAAAAAGTGTGATTTAGAGGTGTGCAAAAAGTCTTATTTCATTTAGGTTACATCTGTGCCTGACATGATGTAATGATTTAAAAAAAGTTTTTTATAAGTTCAAATAAAGATTATTATGAATAAAAGTGTTGTACAGGAATGAGTAATTTTGGTTTTTGCTGAAGGGGAATGTTCACTGACCATAAATACTGTATATCCGTTCTGTATGATGACTTGAACACAGAAATGGTGTGGATCTACACTTTCAAGTTCAGACAGAATTTCCAACCGTTAATGGTTTTTATGTACAGTATTAAGTTAAACCTTCCTCTTACACTTTTGCTTTAGTGGAAGACGCACCACCTTGACTGATGTGTGTAGGTGGTAGACAATTTATGTACAGCTACATTTTGCATAGTAAAGCTTTAGGTTTATGAGAAACCAATAAATATATTGGCTAAGGAAACTGCCATATTTACAGTATTACCTGTACTTGTTCACTAGAAGAAATGGATAAATAATACCAACTGAGTTTTGTAATGCCTTTTTGATGTTATAGACGTTTTTTTTGTATTTCTGTGACTATCAAATGACTACTGTAAGTTAAGTTGACGTTTTTATTCGTAGTCTTTTGATAAGTATTATTTTCTTACTTGGCAGCCTAGAAGCAAATCTACTATGCATCTGAACAAGGTCCGTGAAACTTGAAAGTTTGAAATAGTCCATGTGATCTCGTTGAACTTCTGCAGTAATGGCAACAACGTCTTGACGAAAAATGTGTTTCAACTACGTGTAAATAAGATAGTTCTCGTACTAGTTTTGTTTAGCTTTTAAATCTTTACATTATAAACGATTAACCATTTTGAGAATATAGGGCCGTGGAGCTTAATAAAATATAAAGATTTTCGGTTTGTCTGAGAACTACACTATATAATAATTTTATTTTTGTGGCTTTGAGTTGCGTTTCCTGTTTCACTTAGTAGTTTTACAAAGATTGTGTAATTCTTCTTTTCTGTTCCTAAGTACGCATGTAACCGGCTCTGTATTTCCGAATCGTTTTGTTTTTTCACGTTGGTTTTCAATAAAGTTTTGTCGTACGGTACGTGCGTCCCTTTTAAAAAGAGAGGAAGGACTGCCATTAATGATGTAAATGTAGCGTAGTATATACATATCTATCAGTCATTACTAGGAATTCATAGTTTTTAAGGTAGTGTTATTGTGTGTATTTTAGCTGAATTAAGAGAATCAGCTTTCTGAGTTTCATCATGCTGCTGCGTTGTAGAGACTCGCTGGTATGGCTTTTTTTCCAGGCTCTTGTCTCGGTGTCCTGGAGCTTCAGTGAGCCGGAGCCTGGGCCTGGAGCTGCCGGTGCTGTAGCGAACGGAGATCGGTTCAAGATTGAAGGCCGTGCTGTAGTGCCAGGAGTAAAAACACAGGACTGGATCTCCACTGCTCGTGTGCTTGTCGAGGGAGAAGAACACGTTGGCTTTTTGAAGTGAGTCAATTCGTCTGGTTCTTCATCGATTTCATGTTTTTATTAATCGAACCTGCTACTGTGATGATTAGTGTAAAGGGCGAATTTATGTATAGATGCATTTTTCCACTAATTCACTTTAAGTGCTGTGTTTTGTTTTGTTTATTTTATTGCACTCTTTCTTTCTGTCTCTGAACATAGTAAAATAGTGTACCTTTAATATGATTACTTCTATTTTAAAAAATGCATTTATTTGATAGTAGTACCAGTTAAGTTTAGTTTACTTAGTATCAGTGTTTTCATAAAACAAATGTGGTAGAATTCATTGCTGTAGGACACTTAGGTGCAGAACCAAACATGTCAAGGTTATGAAGTGCATCTTACTTCATAATACCTATTTGAACTCAATTTTAAGCAATAAGCGACATAATGAATTACTATTTGTTGATTATACTATACTTCAATTATTAATAGTTATATATGTGGTGTGTTGTATTGCAGCTAGCTTAACTTTGTTTACATTTTTTCTCGCTCTAGAATTGATGGAAGTTTCGCTGTGAATGATGTTCCTTCAGGATCCTATGTAGTCGAGATCATTTCACCATCATACAGATTTGATCCAGTTCGAGTGGACATTACATCCAAAGGCAAAATGAGGTAATGGTGAACCAAAAATGTCAGCTCCCCATTGAATAAGCCAAAATTATTTGAAGAAGCTCCAAAAATCATTCCAGTGTATACCCTTCATGTTGTTTCAGTATGGCAGAATATTTTTATATAAACCTTTCAGTTTTTAATTTATCTTGGAATAAAGAGTGTCAGGTAAAAAAAAATGTGTAGTTGTCATTTGCTGTTAATTGCCATGCATCGACTTACCTCCTAACCTTGCACTGAATCGACTTGCAATTATTTTTAGTGATTTTTTTTTTCAGTAACTTTAGATACTCTGATTGTTTGACATGCAATCTGATCAACTGAGGTTACCACCGCATAAAGTGTTATAAAATTGACCATACCCTTTACTTCAATCCCTTTGGGTTTAAGGTGTTAGAAGTATAAAGTAAGTTTATTTTTCTCAATGTGGGTGATTCAGAGCTAGTATTTTTTTCTTTTACTTAAGAAAACCTTTTTAAATTTAAAAAAAGAACTAGCAACTAGAGAATTTGTTTTTTATCTTTAATTACTTATATAATCAATTCAATAGTAGCAGTAATTCTACAGCTTTCAGTGAAAGATATGTGAAGGGGGCCTGTAACTTAGCCTTTCTGAATTCCAGGGCTAGAGTGGTAAACTTCATAAAGACATCTGAAGTACTGCGTCTGCCATACCCTCTTCAAATGAAATCTACTGGCCCACACTCTTATTTTATGAAGCGGGAGACCTGGGGATGGACAGATTTCCTCATGAATCCAATGGTATATTTCTTTCCAAAGTACAAGTAGCTTAAATGTTTTGAAGTTGAGCAGCAGTAGCTCAATGATCCCTTTAAAACAAAGGATTAGTTAGAAGATTGTCATTTGGACATCAAAAATAACTTGCATACTTCTTAGAAACCTATCTTTTCAAATCTTGCTCTTAATGCAAGATTGTAAATTTAAGAATAATGCAAATCAAATGCCACTGATTTATTTTTAATAATTACATTGTACATTTAAATTGCTAGCATGTTGCTGAATCTTCAACTGTAGATTGCCAGGATTTAGTGTGTAAGCATTCATTTGACATTAATTAATTGACAGTAATTGTTAGTGGTTCATAGAAACAAATAACTGATCTGATTGGTGTTTCTGAGACCTGCTTTTTGATTTGCCACAATGCTTTTTTTTATTTGTTGGTCTCTTCCAGGTCATGATGATGGTTCTTCCTTTGTTGATTATCGTCTTGCTGCCGAAGGTTGTGAATACTAATGATCCAGAGATGAGACGGGTGAGTTCAGCTTCTGTTCGCATTCGATTTTTGTGTGCCATCCCTTCTAATATAATCTACTTTTTTGCAAATACTTTATTTGAAAAGACAGCAAAGCCTTCTTTTTGTTAACTACAGCTTGTCTTCACTTTAAATGTTCAACTTGTTTTTGACAAATGCAAGCCTGTCAAAAACAGTTTTCCAGGTTATAGAATGTGATTCCTAGTCGGATACTAAAGTAACAGTTAAAACTTGTATGAGATCAGGTTTTCTAGTGTCACTTAAGCTCCAACGTGGGCTTTTAGCAAAAGCTATGTGGTCATAGCTTAAATAAGCTATTTGTGGAATATCATGCAGATTTTATGCACTCAGATGAATGCATATCGAAATTTGTAAACTTTAAACAGTGTATTTACAGTATTTCTACAGTATTTGTCTCTTCGGTTTGATGTGCTAGCTAGACAATGTCCAGAGTATGGAAGAATAACTAACATAAGCAAGTGGTTCTGAGAAGTCAGACAAAATATAATTTTTAGAAGGTATTAATGTCAGTAGGCTTTTTAATGTTACACTATTAAACATGTTTTGCTTTTGACACTTAAGATAGTTTTCTGTAATGACAAGTGAGTCAGAGTGATATCATTTTCACTGTGATTCCATGGTTTTATTGAGACAGATCAAGAATTGGAAAGTGCACCTTTATTAAATGTGCATTAGCTTATCTTTTCTCGAGCCCTCTTCCTCTTTATACTTCATTTTAGAAAAACTCTCATTTTTAATCAAAACAAGTCAGACGAGCACACTCTTTTAAGAAGCTTCGCTTGCCTCTATGTTGTGTGAAATCTAAAACGCCAATCGATCTGTGTTAAATTTCAGGAGATGGAGCAGTCCATGAATATGCTCAACCCCAATCACGAGCTGCCAGATGTATCTGAATTCATGACAAAACTGTTTTCTTCCAAAACGTCTGGCAAATCTGGGAGCAGCAGTAAGAGTGGGAAGAGTGGTCCTGTAAAGAGGAGGTAGTAGTGTTTTAGAAAGGAATGTAAATGCACTGCCTGGCATTACCATTCATTGAGTTTTGTGTTTTTTTTCCATTTTTCTAAATTATTGTTCAAGTCCCAACCTAATTTCTAGAGTAAAATATTTGCAAAAACACAACTTCTGCAACTGTTAAGCAATAAGGAGAGCTTAGAGGTCAAGAACAAATCTGGCGTGATTGTTCCCTTCAACAAAGCTGGATACTTTATTGCTTTTAATGAAATGCCTGTTTGCTTTTTTTACTGTGAATGCCTTGTTACTTTTTATTTCAATTAGGTATGCACATTGTATATTGGATTCCCTACAAAATAAGCATCACCCTGTTTTATACTACAGTAGGTCCAGTAACGTTCTTGATTTTCCTGTTAGAAATGACCTACTTTTAGAATGAGTTCTTTGGAAAGTGATAATACTGTTATAAAGCCACACCTACACGAGTAAGAGCTCGTGATCTGAATATTCATTATAGAAACTTTACCTTGCCTGCATTGCATTAGATTATTATAAATTAAACAACACTTTTTAATTCTAGAATGTAAAGAGCAAATGTTATTTAAATACAAAGATAATAAAAATTGTGATGATCATACTGTCTGCCTTTTGTTTTGATGTTCAATTTTATCCCATCACCTGCAACTAGCCCATATCATAGAACAGATAACACTGTCTTTATGATGTAGTGCTGAAATATCATATACATGGAATATATTCCTAAGACTTTCGTATCTCTGGTTTCTCAGAATGTGTTCTAATGTGTAAATATCTTGATTAGAACATGTTGGATAACATTGATATAAACTAGATTTGATGCAAAGACTTTGATACAGTAAGGTGAATATTATACATCTTAAAGGGTTGAGATACCAAGTATTGGAAAAGCTCAGCACTAATAATTTCAACAAATTCACAGTAATCGTGGAAATGTATGCTTAGTAATTGGATTGAGTTCAGAAGTCTTTCTTTAATGGAACGAAATTGAAATAAATATACATATTCACCTTTCCCTAGTTTCATCTCATAGAAAGAAATGACTCTGCTGCTATGCCATGATGACTAAAGTCTTACATTTTGCAAAAGATCATTAACTGTGCCTCACATAAAGGCAATGTCCTTGTCAGTGTCTCGTTTTAAGCAGTCACTGCTCTTATTTGAGTTTCTTTGCCTTAAGCATAACTAAATGTGAGTGACTGTGGGACATGGGAATGCAAAACCCACTCAGTAAACACTGACTTAAAATTTTCATAGACACAAAAGTTTCTTACTGTGTATTTTAGTCAATTTGCTTGAGAATGTATATTCATTATTTTGTACTTGGAAAAACTAATGTTCACTATATGAAAGTACAGTTCAAGATACAAGTTCTTAACACTGTAACGTTTTAGCAAATGATATTGATGCCTTGCTGAATTTTGTCAAATTTTCTTGTGTGCAGGATGCATGTTTTGGTTTTGAAATTAAAATTGCCCTTTTTGACCAGGAGTATTTTCTTGCTCTTTATTGGGATCTGATGTATTTTAACTTGAACGGTAGGCAGAACACACCATCAGTAGAACAAAAACATCAGTCGATCAAAACGACTGTTATTAAAACTGAACCTTTACTTGAAAATGGACTTTTAGGTTGCAGGTATAAAGTAGTAGCCTTACTCCCCCTCAAGTATAACTCTTTGCTGTTTTGCAGGTGTTGTGTTCTTGTTTTACCTTTGTGCTTAAGGGTGTTTGGTAAAGGGCCAGTGAAACACAGTGGCAGTGGAATGGCTGATACTGCATCCATTGCAAAACATTGCAGCTCCAAATAAGCGTGAACGTGATTAAGTTCTACAAGAAATTTTGCAACAGAACCAAAATCCCTTGCTTTGCAGGAAAAAGTATAGAAAGTATCTTACGTGGCTTGAGAACTAGAAAATTAATTGAAAAGAGTAGCTCTCTTGACTATATGAGGCACTCATTTGCTTGTTTCATTTTAGTGACCTCTTAAATTATTCTTTTTTTAAAAGGATACATAGTAATATTAGAAACATTGACATCATGTTGATGTGAATGGTTGATAACTATTTTTAGATTGGCCTGTGGTTTCAGAAGTCCTTCATTATTTTCTTCAGTTCATTTTTATTTGTTGCAAAGGCTCAGGTGCAACAATAATCTATTATTTGCATAGGGTAAGAATGATAAAGAGTTAAGCTATCAATTATTTGGCTGTAATAAACCTCTCTTAACAGGAAAGTAACTAATTAGGTTTACTAATAGTTCCAACATGATATTTATCATAAAAAGATGCCACCCCATATGCAACATGTATGCAGTGCATAGGTCGAGCTTTAGCCCTTTACCTGAGTTATGAGTCTTGGAGTACCACTCGATTAAAGTCCAGTACTAATTAGGGTAGAGCAGTGTGTAGATGAAGCTGAATTGTTGGACTCTGAGTTTCTGATAGCCAGCTTGGACTCCAGTGTTTGCTGTCACGTAAGCTGCAGTCAAAGTACAGTATTCCTGCCGGCCTGAGATTTGTAACAAACTGTTTAGCCAGTTCAATCAGTAACTCTTAACACTCCAGGAGAAGTACTAGTGCAGGTAAGATTACTTCAATGTTTTGTTTTTATACGGAAACCCTTTATTATTTTTTGCCAGTTGGTAAAACTATTTGTTATGACAGCCTGAAGCTTACATTTGTAAAAGTGAAACCCCTGAATGCTCCATGTGTTTATTGCATAGGATACAATTCTATAGTACAGATGTTTGTTTCATTGCACCTGGGATTTCGCAATAAACTTTTGGAGACTTGTACAAAGAATTTCTTAACTTACATTTATATTTATAGAATAGGTATTACATATTTGCTTAATTTCAAACCTCTTCTGTGTTATGATTTAAAAACATAAACCCACAAAAGTTACCTTAGAAAAGATAGTTTTCTTTTTAACTAGTTAGAGTTCTTAGAAGAAATAGTGTTAGCCTATAACGTATAATATGGTGTATGTAAAGCAGCTCCAAAACATGAAGCTCATGCTTCATGGTTGGGAGAGGTTTCTGTGTTGGTGTGCAGTATTTAGTTTCCTCCAAACATAACGTTGTGGATTTCCACTTTTGTCTCATCTGTCCACGGAACATTATTCCAGTAACATTGTTGAACATCAAGGTGGTCTTTGGCAAATGTGAGACAGGGAACAATGTGTTTTGTGTAGAGCAGTGCTTTCTTTTGTGGACACAATACTCTTGTTCAGTGTAGATCTCATCTTGGACTCAGGAGCACAGATATTAGCCTGAGCAAGAGACAGCTGCAGACCCTTAGCTGTTAACGTAGGGTTCTGACACATCCTTGAGTGTTGTATGACTCAACACTCAGTGATTTTTGATGGATGATGGCTCCTACAGAGAGTTGCAGTGATACTGAATTTCTTCCATTTGTACACTGCCTGACAGTGGATTGATGGAGGTCTAAGCTTCAGAAATGCTTTTGTAACCCTTTCCAGCCTTATGAGAGTGGACAGCTCTTCTTCAGAGGTCCTCTGAAACCTCTTTTCATCGAGACATGTTTCACTTCAACAAATCTGTGCTGTGAAGAGCAGACCTGTTAATTTTTTGCAGTGCATTATAAAGACCTCATTTAGAAACTTCAGTGCAGTTTTCGTCAACATGTTATGAAAAAAGATGTTACAACTTTGAATTCAGTCCAGACTGGTGCAATACACGTAGGGTCTGATACACTTAAGGGCTTTCCTGGAATGTCCTACACTGACAGGTTAAAAGAGCTGAAGCTTTCAGTTATAGACAGAGAAAACTAAAAGGGGAGCTGATCCAAGTGCTGTGTTTGAAATCTTCAAAGACACTGTCAAAGTCAACCAAGTGGGCTTCTTCACCCCCAACAGTGCACCACAATCCAGAGATCACAGGGGAAAGCTTCAGTACTTGGAAGTGCTTTTAAATCCTGAGAACTGGAGGCACATATTTACTGTATACAAAGGCTTGTGGGAGTATGGAACAAGCTAAAACCTTACTGAAGCCAAAACCTTGGCTTCTTTCAAGAAAGGTGTGGATTACATCAATATACATTCTAGCAAGCAGGCTAATTGGGTTGAATTGACTTCCCTCATTTTAACCATTTTTATGTTCTTAATTTTTTTGTGCACAAAACTGTTTTGCTTTACTGAATTTTCACTTGTTAGCAGGAGGCTTTGGAAAGATGAAAACTAATTGCTACTGGCAGTGGGCTCTGTTAATGTCCCTGCTTTGTGTGGTGGGGACTCAAAAAGAACTTCCTCCTGCAGAAAATGTGCACCTTCTTAATCCAGAGGAATACAAACTTGTTTTGAACTTGGACCAGAAAGGTAAGGAACTACAAAGGCTTTTGAAGAATCATGTTTGTTATACTTTTGCATAAATGCACTGCTTAAAAACAAGACGCCTTGGTCGAGGCAGTCCACATTTTATATCATAATCTTTCTTCTTTACCTGCATATTTCAGATTTTATTCTGAAAATAACTGTGTTATAATTTGTCATGCTGTACGTGATTGTCCCAGTTGCTACTAGAAGCAATAATTCCATTTTTTTTTTTAACTCCCTTAATTCTGAAACAGGCATCTCAGTCATGTGATTGTTGTACAGTTAACAATATGACTGACATTGCTTTGAAATCTTTCACTCAAGTTGTTTTGTCTCTGCTAAAAGTCAAAGATGGTAACATTGTTTCATGTCAACTGTGTTGGTTTGTAATGTGGGCTATAGGTCAAACCACATACACAACGTGGAAGCAATAGTTTGATTTGTATTCTGGACAAGAGGTCAAAGTTCACTTATTGCTGAATGTTGTCATAAAGTACTTGACAGCTTTCAAAAGAATTGTCATCGACAATGATAATTCCAGATCTGAAGCATTTATGGAGATGGGAGATATACAGAGTGTTGAGATAGTAACCGTCCAATTTCAGCATAACATTTTTGGGGACTAGATAACCTTTTCTTTGAAGAAGGTGTATCCCTCTGTTTTGAAGTTAGTTATAATTCTGTTATTATAAGCTGTGATATTGTTTTGTAAAAATAATTGAAGTAGATATGATTTTCTTTTTTTATTCTATCTGGGGTGTGACCTGTTACTTCCCAGGATACGCTGTGGCTCCGCTCTGACCCTATATCAGATTAAAATTGATGGTTGGATATCATGAGGAAAGAATACACCTATAACTAGTGAAATACATTGCTATTCTCTGCAAGATCAATGAGAAATGGAAAGTTTAAATGAAACAGAAGGATATAGGAGAGTATCTACAGGTGTAATTTTTTAACATTGACATATTAATATTAAGGACATTTATTTTCTCTACTTTATGCTGTAGGTGCATTTGAAATACTAAAACCCACTACCAGTTTTGCCAAAGAGCACGACATATCTTAATGATTCTTTCATCCTTAATTCAGACTATCCCAGTGACTGCTTTGAGATCTGGGAGAGTTCAGGAGGCCAGGCTAGGGATGGTATCTACATGATCCAGCCTACAAAGTCTGCCCTTGTGGTGTTCTGTGATATGCAGAGTGGGGGCTGGACCGTGGTGCAGCACATCACAGTCAACAGCAGCGTGGACTTCGACAGGACGTGGCAAGATTACAAGGTGGGCTTTGGGTCAATCACTAGTGACCACTGGCTAGGAAACGAGTACCTGTACCAGCTGACTAACAAGGGCGGGCAGTACAAACTTGGGATCAAGCTTGTAGATAAGGATGCAGTCACCAAGTTTGGAGAGTATGATCCCTTCCGCGTGGAAAGTGAGGAATCCCAGTACAAGATCCGTCTGGGACTGTTCGAGGGCACAGCTGTGGATGCCTTGAGCCAGGACACAGAGGCTTACCTACATGACAACCAGAAGTTCACAACCAAGGACCGAGACAATGATAACTTTTACCAGAATTGTGCCAAACTGGAGTATCTCGGGGTACCTGGAGGTGGCTGGTGGTACGATGCCTGTGCTGGTGCTAATTTGAACAGACGTAATGTCATCTACTGGCAGAAAGATTGCAACAAAGAGCACATCTGCAAATATGCTTGGATGATGGTGAGGCCCACGGATCGTGTTAAAGTCATCAAAACAGGAAGCTGTCAACGGGATGAACTGTAACTTTATTCATTCAAACTTCCATTATCAGAAAGCCATTTACTCTGGATTGAACAGTAAAACTACAAATGTTTGAACTTCTCTCCTGTTTGGTTTGATATTTGTGCTGGTAGAGAAGGCAAGGCTTGAAATGTTTCCTTCCTTGTTCTTAATTTCTGATATTGTTTACAGTTCTGTCAAAAGATATGGAGCAGTTAATTTTTAATTTAATAGTTAACTGCAACATTAAAAATGAAACCCCACTAAATGCATTTGTTTTCTTCTAAAATACAGTCACATTTTGAGATGAAGGACCATCATGGAGATCAATCAGATTAATCATAATCAATTTGTAAGTGTGGAGTAGGGGTTTCTAGTCCTGGTCCTGGTAACCCAAGTGCTCGATTCAAAGTCTGTTGGATTTTTAGCTATGTAGTTGAACCATTAATAGAACAAATGATCTTGTTAATGAGACCTTTAAGTATTTTTCAAGATAGTTCAGATCAACTTCCAGTTGGGAAAATATTGGGTCTGGGATTCAATCAAGTTGAGGTACATTTGGAACAAATATTTGCAGATACTGGACTGGAATACCCTGAAAAACTGCCAATAACAAAAATAAGAGACAAATCAAGAGAACTTAAGCTTTGGAAAACACAGACTTCAGACTTCAGTCTGTGTTTGCTATTCAATTTAACTTCTTTGACATCTTAATTAGTCCTAAACTGGTAGTTATGCTTTTGTTTTGAAACAGTGTAACCGAGAATATGAGAAATGCTATCAGCAGAATTAGTTGCACAATTACAGTTTTTCTTGATTGCTAAGACAATTTGAATGCAACTGTGGTTCACATCACAACATTATCAAAACCAAAACCCAAATAAGCAAAACAGACACATTTTCATCGCAACAGTAGAAATGCATCATTGCTTTCAGCCAAAATCCAAATACCAGACACTTGATCGGCAAAGCAGTAAAAACAAAGCTCTACAGATTACAAAACAGTCATTTGCTCCCAATTGATTACAATTACTTTAATATAACATCCTATTACACACATGCAAATAATCTTTCCCAAAGCTGAAATTATCACTCAGTTCATAATCACATACTGTATAAGAGGTATGAGCCCAGAGAAGAGCTGCTCAAAGAGGTAGAGAACATTGTTGACTGTATGCTAAATCATGGTCTGTCATTGTGCAAGGCTACCCAAAGGTTGTAGCCTAATTTGACCTGTTCAACTGTAGCATCAATTGTTACAAAATTCATACTTGAGAATAGGAAAGAGATCACATATAACTTCAATACACAGTAAAACATTACTGTATGAAATGCATATGTGGGGTTTTCTCTCTTCTGATATTTATGGAGTCATCCTTTTTGTCCATCAGAAATGTAGTGCGTTCCTTAAAAGAATTAACAGAAACCCCTGCTCTGGTGGCCGAGACAAGGATTTCAATGCTGAACAGGTTGGCTGCAATTTTTGAAGTGGTTCTTGCAAACAATGCCACTTGCAGGAAATCCAGGCTACTGTTGTTGCAGATATTACTGTATTTTCAAGTGTCAGTCCTGCAGTAATTGACCGGGGTTGAAACAATACCTCCTCAGAATGAAGAAGCTCTACAGGGTGTCCTTTGAAACAAATAGTTACAGAGTGAAGAGGCTGTGGTACCAGTACGTGCAGGTAAGGTGACATCATAGTTATGTTTTGTCTTACATACTGTATCATCATTGTAGACACACTCCAGTGAAGGGTTAAATTCTTTCTCTGTACACTATGTTTAGCAAAACACCATCTGCAACATTAAATGTACCTGCTGTTGATAAAACCAGGGGCCTGCAGACACAAAGAAGGTTTGTTTTAAGAATCTCAAATAATTGTTTTTGTGTAGAAGGCCAATTGCAACTACCTGATTTTAGAAAACACTGATTTAGCTCAGTTATGTGGACATCTTATGTTTAAGGTAAAAGTTTGCTTAACCAATAGAAATCAAAATAGATTTAAGTTTTTTCTTTTTGAGACTTAAGCTTTTTGTATTCCTTATTAAAAAGTCAGCTGTAACTTTGTTTGTTAGAAGCATCCTCCTAATTGCAGGGAGGGTGCTTTTCTTTGGCCAAATATACAATAAACTCCTCTTCTGCTCAACAAAAAGGTCTCCAGTGGATATTTGCTCTACACTGAATGGTTAACCATGTTTTATTTATTGGCCCCTTAGAGCATAATGGAATTAGAAGTAATTATGGTTCCAAATGTATTCATATATGTGGATAAAGCTGGGCTCAATATCACTAAGTATATGTTCTATATACTGTATAAAACTTGTTGCACCTGAAGAGGGACAGAAGGTTGGGGCTAACAGTCTATTGACAGTCTTAACAGCCCCTTTCCACCACTCCTGTAAAGTGAAAGTGGTTTGAACCCATGTTTATGCAATTGTTCCCTATGTACTGTACTTTCCATATCTTATTCCCATCAAGGATTGTTTTTTGTCCTTGTGAGGCAATGTCTATGAAGATGGTTTTAATAATAATAATAATAATAATTTCTTACAGTTATATAGCACTTTTTTTGGGTACTCCAATCAAAAAGCTTTACAGGTAATGGGTACTCCCCTCCACCACCACCAATATGCAGCTCCCACCAGGATGACAGCAGCCATAGTGCACCAGTACACTCACTACACACCAGCTATCAGTGGGGAGGAGAACAGAGTGATGAAGCCAGTTCAGAGATAGGTATGATTGGTAAAGGCCAATGGGAACTTTGGCCAGGACGCCAGGGTTGCACCCCTACTCTTTTCGAGAAACGCCCTGGGACTTTTAATGACCACAGAGAGTCAGGACCACGGGTTTATGTCTCATCGGAAGGATGACGCCTTTTTACAGAATAGTGTTCCCGTCACTATACTGGGGCATTGGGACCCACACAGACAGCAGGTTGAGCGCCCTCTACTGGCCCCACTAGCACCTCTTGCACAAGCAACCTTGTTTTTCCCAGGAGGTCTATTCCCATTCAGGTACTGACCCAGCTCACAACTGCTGAGCTTCAGTGTGCTGTCATCTGTGAGTTGCAGGTTGAAATGGCTGCTGGGATAAATGTCCCTTTGACCAAATGTCTCTACTGGATGCTATGAATGCAGTTTGTAAGGAGATCTCTGTAACCTGGCAATAGTTTGCCAGGGGAGCTCAGGTACTCCCCCTGCTGCATTGCTAGGGAAACCATTCTGTGTTAATGAAAATATGTGGCCTGACATACAGTACAGCATAGAACGAACTGAACAAGTGCTTTTTCCCCTACTTTTTTACAGCAATGTCAGGCCAATGTCAACTAAATGTTTTGTGATAGATTTGATTTGAGATTTGTAGAATGTAGAATATAGTTAAAGTAGAGGTACAGTAAATCTTTTGTAAATGTATATAGATATCCCTTTGTAAAATCTGGTATTTCAAAGGAGCCACAACACACCTAAAAAAGATCATAAACTGGAAACAATATATGGTTAGCTTTTGGAAAAAATCTGAGATGTAGACGAATGCATATCGTGCATACGAATACAATCCTATAATTTTATTTTGGGTGATTCTGAGGACAGTGGAATAGTAAATTGCACTCCTCAGAAAGACTGGAGTTTTGAATGTTTTATTTACATTCAAAGCATTAAAAATGAAATATTTATTTGGAAAAAATGTATCTAGCCAATGCAGTAATACTGGATGCTGGACTATAACTACATTCAATAAAATGAATAATTGTTACTGGTTTATGACTGAATGAATAATACTTAATCAGTCATGTGTACCTTTTAATATGTATGCTGTATTGTATTTGAAAATGTTTGAAATATCAATTTTGGCTTTGTGTTGTAATTTGCTGTGCAACTGAAACAGACATATTTAGAAATGAAATTTAGAAATTATTTTCCATTGTTGCTTAAAAGCATATCAAATAAGGATTTTATTGTAGGTTTATCCTCATCTGATTCATAAATAATGTAGAACTGTAATGTTTTGCCTTATGTGCTAAAACTTCAGTGTCATCTTGAATAACTGAAGTACTTGGAAATCCTATCTGTGGCATGTCATGTGCAATATTTGAGTAGGCCATTTCAAACCCATACCTGATAGGAAGATAAAGGCAAGCATCTAGTAATTTCTTTCCACTCAGTGCACTAGTAATTGATGTTTTATTTATTCAGTATTTTCTCTGAAAATAGGTCATTTATGGATCACGATAAAAGCATATCCGGACTTTCTTGACTTATTCCTGGTTCAAAGCTTGCACTGAACTTATAGAAAGGCTTCTTTTTCCATTTAATTTAATTTAGTAAAAGACTGTATGATGTTTTTTCCCTTAACTATTTTAATTGTTTCCAAATATAAGCCCAAAACACATACACAACAATATTATGTTTAAAACACATCTGGAAAAAAAATGTGTTGTCACACAAATTTCCATTTCTAACACTGAAAAAACTTTGTGATGTGCTTGGAAAATATGAATTTCAAAATATGATAATGGTATGCCAATTTTGGCAGGCACACTAGAATAATCATTCTGTGTTTTTTTAGGTTGAAACATTTTTTTTAAGAGCCCAGCATAGCGAGAATTCATCTTTTCCATAAACAAACATCACAAGTTATCAGTAGAAAAAAGTTTTAGCCCCATCGGGTAAGATATGCAGTACCTACAATCTGGCAATAAAGTATAGAAAACTTCAAATTTTAATGGCTGAACAAGATAACAATTCCATTTTCTCCATTGGAAAGATTCTATAAAAGTCCTATATCCTTTTCTTGTAGGAGAGTACAAAAGGGCTTGACAGATATAATTGGCCTTGTGTTTTTCTACTGTACAGTACCTCAACCTCTAGCATGAGGTTTTGTTATAATCTGTCCCATTCTTCTTATTAAACACAGGGTGATACCTGTGAGAGAAAACACACGAAGGGAAAAGGATGTTTCCAAGTACAAAAGTGAATTTGTTGGTCCACCAAATCAAACAAATTGGACAAAAATACAATTAAGAATTGGTTTACAATATTTATTGGGTTCCTGTGTTTTTTTTTCTGTCATAATTAGCAAGCATTATTTCAGTTCAGTTTTTCTTGGAACACCACATAACTTTACATGTGAAATAGGTGGGCTTAAAAGCATTACTTTAAAATAGCACTATTGCAACAAGATTTTATGGACAAGTGTACTGTTGTTCTGAATAAGAAAATGAAGCCTAGGTGGCACTGACACACAACTATTAGATAAAACTGCACTCAACATTTACAATAAGGCAGAGCAACATCTTATGATTCAACGTACCATCAAACATGAAAACTAACAGTTAGCCCTTTAAAATAGAGAAAAACAAAATATCATTGACACATCAGAAATTATTAACTTTAAATAAGGCTTCTTTTAAAAAACATTTACAAAAATAAAAATAGATTTGTCTGGGGGGATGCACTTATACTTTTCATTTTCCAGAAATAAATGAATTACAATTAGAATTACAGTGTAGTAGTACTTGTCCTGCAGTTCAATATTTTTGTTCCAAAAAAGAGCTTGAATTCAGTATGTGTATGCTTTTAAAAAGCTTTATGTTTAGAGAACAACATATAAATCTTTATGTATATTTAAGTATGTTCTATATGTAAAACAGTGGAATAATTTTATAATCCAAGTATTACCTCCTATAATGTTTTCCTGTTTTAATCTTTTTTTTTAGAAGAAGAACAATATCAATGCCTTTTGGTTCCTTTTACCTTGTGTCTAAACAGTTGTGAGTCAAGGCATACTAAATGACAGTGAACATTCTCCAGAGACACTTCTAATTGTCCTAGAAATGGTAGCTGGCCAAAATCATTAGTTCTAAGAGATATCTGAGATATCTGAATGTAACGGTTATCTTTACAAAATGTGCCAGAAGCACAGAAACATATGGTGGGCATATCTGATGAGCATAACATATTCATTTCTGAACTGAATATATTATGGAGAAAACAAGAAAAATTATATTCAAAGTTGTCACAATTCTTGATGGAAAATTCCAAGGATAGTTTAACATTATTTCACAGCAAAAGCTATTCCTTTTAAATTCTCATGTCATTTTGGTGTTCATTCCAGGATTCTGTCCATACCAGTACAGCTTTTCCTCTGCCCTTTTCTTTTTCCACTGACAAAAGAGCAACATTTTGAAGGTCTTTTGAAATGTCTTGTTGCACAAGGCATAGCACATGGGGTTGACAGTGCTGTTGACATAACAGAGCCAGTATCCAAGGTGCCAGAGGGACACAGGAATGCATTGTGAACAAAAAGTGGAAATTAGCACCATAATGTTGTAGGGTGTCCAGGTGAGAATGAAGGCCAAGAGAATAGCACTCAGTGTCTGTGCGGCCTTCTTTTCCTTGATAAGGACCATACGCTTCCTCTTGGTGATCTGATTCTTCAGATTGGGGTCCATCGTCTTGTTGGTGGAGGAAGCTCCCACAGATTCTGCTGAGGAGCAAGATGACGCCACCAACTTGGATCCCCCATTCTTGCTTTGTGGGAGACAACCATCTTTAGGGACTGCCTTGAATTTGTAGGAGACACATTTCTTGGTTTTTTGTAAGCTGTGTTTGGCAGGGGTAGAAAAATAACTGCTTTCTTCGTAATTGCTCAGCTGCTCATCCATGAAGGCTTGCTCACTCTCTGCTCTGCTGGAGGATTCTTTCTGGTCAGTGCCCTGGTTTTTGTAAGCTGTCTGGAAGATTCCTGTAGTTACAGGTTTTTCGTCATCCTCTGATGATGCATAGCTGTTAAAGGAGGTTACCTGGTCAGTTTTGGACCACTCGTCACTGGCATTTGACACAAGTGTGGTCTTCGTAATGTTGCTTCTGCTCGAAGATGACCACGAGGCTTGGCTTCTTTCCCTGTTGACATTGGCAGGTTGTTTACAACTAAAGCAGGATTTGATGGTAGTCTTCTGGGGTTTAATGGTCTTGGGATCACATGTAGAGTTCAGACCTTGGAGTTCCGCCAAGTCCTTGGTGCGTCTCTCAGTCTCCTTGTAGATACGGCAGTACAGTATGGTCATAATGGAAACTGGAATGTAGAAAGCAGCAATGGCTGTTCCAAAAGTGATTACAGGTACAGAGAAGAATTGAATCTGGCATTCGTCTGAAGGGACTGTTCTTTCTCCAACAAAGTACTGCCAGCACAAAATTGCAGGTGCCCAAAGAATGAAAGACACCAACCAAGCTAGGCCGATCATGATGCCAGCCCGTTTCGGGGTACGTTTGGCTCTGTAAGTCAGTGGTCTCGTAATAGAGAAATATCTGTCAAAACTAATGACTAGCAAATTCATTACAGATGCATTGCTAGCAACATAGTCGAGTGCTAACCAGAGGTCACACGCTAGACTTCCAAGAGACCAGTATCCCATCAGTATGTAAGAGGTATATAGATTCATTGAAAATACTCCAATAATAAGGTCTGCAAAAGCCAGGCTTAATAAATAATAATTATTAACTGTCTTCAGCTGGCTGTTTACTTTGAACGATACCATAACAAGAATGTTACCAATAATTGTTATCAGACTCACAATGGCTGAAACAGTTGCTATAGTGATGACTTCCCAAAGACTGTGACCACTGAGGTTTTGAACATTGGACGTATTACTGTTGTTAGCTGTTGAGTTCTTCAGCTGTTCTACTTCCATAATGGTTCTCAGTGCTTCCAGCTTAGAGTAACGTATCTACAGAGTGGAGTCAATGGAGTTTTCAATGGCGCTCTGAATGCACATCCCCTTTGAAAATGAGAATAAACAAAAACAACTGTTAAATTCAAGGATCACCCCAAACCAAAAGAAATGCAAAGTGTTGTAAATTCATTTTACTTTAAAAGAATACATAGCACATCTTGGTTGCACTCATTTGTAGAAAATGTTTTTACAATGAATAAGGCTAGTTTACATTTTGCTACAGAAATAATTGTGACAGCTTGATGATAAGCTTTTTGACCCCTTCAAGACTCGTGTAATAAAAATCCTTCTTTATTAATTTTATGTGTTCCCCTAATCTTAAGCTTTGACCTGTTTTGTTGTTCTGTGAATGTCTTCAGAATATTGTTACAGTACATCAATATTGCGACAGCACAAGATTTTTGAAAGGATTTAAGAAAACGTAACCTAAGAATAAAAGTCACCTTACTTCCCACACAACATATTTCAAACAGTTAAAAAAACTGTAATAGTGCAATATTATAGATAATATTATTAAACAAAGTGAGCACAATAATGCAGGTTCCAGTACCTATATCCTGTACAGTATATATGTACATGATAAATAAAAAGCAAATCAAATTAAATAAAATATACCTTTAATTTAATATTTTAGAATGTAATTTTAAATAAAAAATAAATAAAAAGAATAGAAAATTAAAAAAAAATACAAATGGGCTTTTTGTCATCGTTATCATCATCATCATCATCACCACCACCACCAACCACCACCAACAACAACAACAATACATACAGTACATACAGTCTATTTTATTTGGAGAAAACGTTTTTCAGTCATATACATTATAAATGTATATATGATCAATTATAATTATAAATATATTATACATTAGTTTGTGTATTTCACTGCAACAGTTAATACTCTTTAAGGACATTGTCTTGCTATTATCGAACCGTAGTGGGAACCAAATGTAATCAGACCTCCTGGAATAAAAAAGCAAGCATCCTTGTTGTCTGACGGATGACATTTTGTGTAACTCGAAACACGTTGTAACAGCGTATCACTTAATGTGGTCCGGTAGACGCGCTGGGGAACGCGAATGTAGTGATGGAGCAGAGATCAAGGCACAGAGGAGGCGGCGGCTGGAGGAGAGGTGGACACAGTGGCGGAGGCAGTGAAAGTGGAACCGGCACCCCCACTGAACATCGGGGTCGAGGTAGGGGTGGACCCCACCGTGGCAGGGGAAGAAGGGATCATCATCGTGGCAGAGGACGCTCAGGACCTCCACGGTGCGACAGGGTAAGAATTGTTGCTTATTGAAAAGTTAAAGCTGTTGCACTTTTTTTTACTATAGTATTTAGGTTTCTACAGTTATGTTTTCTTAGAACCTAAGGCACTCTATTTTAAATGTTCCGAAGAAAAGTCGTGAAAACTGTTGACTTAATAGTTTGATACTGAAGACTATAAACCTAAATAATAGGTTATATTTCTTTCCAAACAAAGCTATACTTATTAGGATTGTTTCTGTCCTTTCTTTACATAATAGTGTACTTATTTCAACACATGCAAGACAGTATGCTCAATTGCACTGCATGCTAAACAGCTTTGGGGGTGGTTATGGCAGTAAAAACACAGCTGCAGAGAGCTGCAGAGATACTAAAGAGCCTCTCCAGCTGCATTGCGTGAAGGAATCGAATCCTCTGTTGAACTGCTATATATCCTGAACTATTCTTCTTGACAAAAATTCAGAATACTGTTTTCAAACATTCTTTGACAAAAGGCATGGCCTCAGGTCTACATGATGTCTGATTGTCTAGATTTTCATTTTTTGTTTGATTCATGAGTCAAAGGGAGGGTTAGCTTTATTCTGAAATGCACTTCTTTTTTACCTTTTTTTTTCTAGTATAAGTTTTCTGAAGGCAAAACAAGGACAGGACCTCAAAATGTAAGCTTATGCTCAATTTGACTTTTGTTGGGCTTCACTGGATTGTGGTGGAAAGGGGATGGGTTGAAAGGAGTTCTTTCACTCACAATATGGTGCAGGTGCCAGCCATCTATTTCTACCTCAATAGCCACGTATTCAACACGTAGACTAATCTTGTCAGATATCAGAAGCTAAGCAGTGTTGGGCCTGTTCAGCACTGGGATGGTAGACCACCAAGGAAGATCCACTTGCTGAATCAAGTGGTGTCAGAGGGCCAGTAGGTGATTGTATTTCCTTTGGAGCAGAATGTTCATGCCCTGGTGACTAGTGTGCTATAGGAGTGTCTGTCTGTCAGCTAAAACATTAAACCAGGGTCCTGACAATAAGTGTAAAAGTGTTAACTGTTTTTCTGGTCACTTTGAACTCATACAGCCTGGCCTCCCTAATCCTTTATTTCAAGTCATTGCTAAAGCAATTTCTCACTACTCCACCTGATTTGTAATGGGGCTGCTACTGCATAGTTGCTGCCTTGAGTTACTTAATACGGTAGTGCCTCACAGAATCATCTGTGTGTCTCTTAATATCCATCTACCTCCTAAATATTTTTACCTTTATCTTTACAAGAAAAAAACTAAAAAAAAAACTTTTCAACTGCGCTACAGTTGTATCAATTTAAAATGCATTTATTAAACCTAATAAATGTAAATAAATGTAATGAATAAATATAATAACTTAAGCCTAATAAATGTAAACAAACAGTTGTTTTATAGTAAGAACCAAATTAGTTAAAGAAGGCATTACAGAAGTTAAGAGACATATCTATAGAACGTAGAAAGAGCATCAAAAATATCTTAGCACTCTTTTCATGCATGTACTGTATGTTTTTAGAAGAATACGATGTACAAGTTTTGGATGTTGATTAAATGTTTTTTTTGTCATTTCTATTGACTGTGAAACATTCAAGTAATTTGTCATGGTTACATAAGCATTAAAATTGTACGTTAATGAGAGAGTTTAGCCGGTATAAGTGATTTAAGTGTTTAGTGTTAAGCATGGTGAAAATCAAGTAGTAAAATACAAAAATATGCATCGGTTATCAAGATGACACCTTCATGTCAAATACATGTTGTTGACTTGACTAACTAATCTTAGATCCACTTGTCAGCAGTGGAACAAAGTCCTTGTGGCAGGCCAGTTGTACAGGGAATGGTAGTTACAGCTTCTTACCACTAGAGGTCGTTGAATCCAAGGTCAGTTGTCTGTCTATACTTTCTTTTATTGTCTCAGATGGGAAATTTGCTTTGCAGGCAGGCAAAAAACACAATGCAATATATAATACATTTAGCACAACATGAATCCATTAACACATAAAAAGCATGCATCCATAAGTTTAAAAACGAGTCAGACACTTTAAATAGTCCTCACAATCCAGAAGTAGATAAATAAAGGATTATGGTCGTCAGTAAGTAAAATAGCTTGTGTGGGGTTCATATGAGGTGCATGGTTTATCTAATTAGTTAAATGGTGCAGGGCTGGGAGTCAGATTCTCAAATAGGGATAAGTAAATAAGATTATTTGGGAAGTAAAGGGACACATGGTGTTAGTTGGTGTTGGGTTGTTTTAGAGAAGTAAATGGATTGTTGGTATGTGGAAGAAGATTTTTGCTGAATAAAGACTCTTTGATCATTATTCTTTTATTATTCATTATTCTATCACTATTTCTTTTGTCCATTGTGAATGTCTTGTATTCAGACCTCCCGAGCTGCATATTTACAAGGAGGTCTGCGTATAGACCAATTGAGGTCCAAGTGTGTTTGATGATTGTAGTCCACATTCTTCTGATAGATGGCAGCCTGTCTGGACAGTTTTACTAATCTAGTTCTGGAACCCCACTTTCTGCCCTTCCTGCAGACTCATCCTATGTAACAACATAGCAGCAGGACAATGCACATTTTCATTATACCCATGTAATAAGTCTTGTGACAGTGACAGTTATTCTGTTGATGCCCTGCTTTCTAAACATTGGATAGTCTGGTTGGGATGATGTGTATCGCGGGTCTAGGTAAGGAATTGGACAGAATCACACAAGACAGCATCTGCAACCTGGTGCACAGCATGTGCAGAAAAGTGGCCACACATAGTTGTAGCCTTTGACTTTCACAGTAAAATTACAAACCTAATTTCCATTAAGTTTTCAAGGGCAAAATGTAAGGGAAACCAGACATTACTTTCAGTAGAATTTAAGGCCCTTTTTTTGTGAAGCTGTTTTCTAATATTGGCATATGGCTTTATTCACAATATTCAAACTAGACATTATAATAGGTATGTAAGCAAATATTGCTCTTACGAAAAGTTTCTGATTTGATTATTAATAATAAAGTTGTCGTAATTCCAAATTATTATTTTCCTTTTGTGTCATATGATTCTTTGAATTTTCCTTAATTTCTTCCCACAAACTCGCGTCTTTTCACCAGTTTTGACTGTTACGTGCTGTGTTATTCTGACCCCTTCCTTTCTAAAGTACTGGCTTTCCATTTTCATAATTGAAAAGGCTGAAGATGAGGTGGATAACAAGGAAGATCATGAAGAGGATGGCCCTGACATCTTTTCCAGAAGGAAGCTGGAGTCAAACTGGGATCGCTATGAGGCTGCAGAAAAGGAGGAGCTTTGTGAAGGCAATCAAACCAAGCGAGGAGAAGATTTCCATGTCCTCCTCAGCTCTGCAGGTTAGATCATGTTTTTGTCTCTAACATAGAGCAAGCTAAAACCAGCATTACAATGCTCCATATATAATAGGAAATGTGTTGTGTGGTTTTCAATAGGCGACATAACCAGTCTACAGCTTGTATTGTGTTAGAACTGGGCTTTCCCTAATAGATGCATTTTTGTCACAAATTTTAATATTATCTATACATTAAATGCAATTTGGAACAGCAGAATGTGTGCTGCGAAGAAGATGACTATTTAGCTAGGATTCTACATAGAGTATGTGGAGGAAGGTGTTTGTACCGGTGGATAAAAGAGAAATCGCATTTAGTGCATCTTCCTTTCCATCATGAATCCGTTCACATAAAGAATTAGGAGTACTTTTTAAAATTATTATTGTGAAATGGGTTCCTTAATGGTCTTATTATTATTATTATTATTAATAGTTGCGAAAAATATAGCTCTCTTAATGCAGAAGCAATAAACTGAGATTGATTCTGTGCTTTATAGTTAAAGACAACCATCAATTTAACTGTTGTGCTGTTTTATATATTTGAACGATCCACCTTGGACTTTTAAGTGTGGTGGCTATTTTCATGACGGCCTAACACAAAATGCGTCATCAGAAATTGCGTCTTATCCTTGTCATGCTGACAAGAAATCATCTCGCTTATCTATTTGTAAGTGGGACTTCCCCTGCCTTAATGGTGCAGTTGTCAGCTTAGCAGGCTGAACCCTCGGTTGGATTCTGCTTTGCTTTTTGCCAGAGTGCAAAGTCTAAAATCACTCAAAGACCTCAATAGGCTCACAAGGTTATGCAAGGATTTGCAGGTTTTGAGAGAGCTGCACCACATCTAAAACCCTGGGCAGGAAGACTTTATCCGTGTAGTTTCAGTGAAGCTTTAGAGAAGGAGACATGCTGTGACCCATTTTTTAGACATATAACTGTGGTGTTGTTTTAGAAGTGTAGGGAGAGGTCAGACTATATGAGGCGACAAATATATTACTTGAATAGATGAGTAATTTTAATAAGGGAGAACAAAGGCATAAAAGCAACATCTTTAATAAGTAGCCATTGTTGAGATGATCAACAGAAGATCCCATTAGTGTGGAATTTAAAATGGGCCAGGGAATAGTAGCTGACAGCTGCCCTGCGGTCAAAATTTCATTGAGAAGCAGCTGTAGGAGAAAGGAAGTGACAGCTTCCGACATTCTCAGATGGAAATAGGGTCACAGTGTGCTTCAGTTTGACTCGTGAGTAAAATCAGCCAGCTCGGAGCAGAGAGAACTGCTGATCCGATTAAAGGCAGCTTTTGAGGAGTATTTTTTGTGAGACTATAAACACTGAAATTTCTACCAATTGGACTGCACTCAAAATATAGAAAAATATACAATCCTTTATCAATCTTCCCTCTTTTTAAATAGTTACTATAGAGTATTTTGCATAATTTGCAGGGCAAACAAATTCACTAGGTGTTTTGACAAAGACAAATAATAGAAACATTGCAATGTCATTTAGGGACTGCTTTTCTGTTTCACTGTGTTGCATGAACCTTTGTTTGATTACAGTGTTTTTTTAAATTTCTGAAAATTTCTGGTTGTGCTTTCTTAATGTGATGGAGACCCTTTTCAATTAAAAAATCTGTTACCCTTTGATGAGAGTGAAAAAATTAGAAACTGTTTATTTAGACCTGGACTTTGCTTCAACGGTTCCAATTTATTGGGTTATAGTGAAATGTGTTTATGATGTACACTAGAAACTGGATGCTATTAAAATAATGTAATGAGGTTCTACAGAATAGAAATCAGTTGATCTGTGTTTTTTGGCATTGTACAAGTATTTTAACATTAGTATGCATGCATGTACTAAATTTTTCTCTCTGTTGAGGGGCAAAATAAGTCATTCTAAACTTTTGTGATATGGGAAGAATCAGAGTTAGAAATCTGTGATATGTTCAGTGTGAGTTTTGTACTCAATGTAAGTTGGTTGCATATTGATATTTTGTGATGGTGACCAACTTGATAATTTTACCATACTGAAAGGGCTTAGGCTGTTGTCCTGAGTTTGTTATAGTACTGCCACAAGAAATATGAGGGTTTACTTTAATGTCTGAAGAGCACCATCTAGAGTCAAAATGTGATTTTACCAGAATCTAACTTGCATAGCAATACTGTACTGTGATAATATCAGTATAATTTTTCTGCTTTTACTTTAAGACATCTTTAGGAAAGATATGAATACCTGAAAATTAAAATAAGTTTTCAGTTTTTTTTAGCTAAAGCATCCATCATTCAAAAAAGAGAAAATAATTATTTATTCATTCTATGTTTCCTTACTTTAAAATTTAAACTCACATACAGTAGTTTGCTTAGCTTTTCTTTTATTTCAATATTTTTTTCTCACAATTTAGCAGCATGGATTTTGTGAGAAAATGTTAAACCAATTTGGAGAACTGCTGCATTAGAAATTTCAGAGTGAGACAAGGAATTTTCTATAGCTATAGAGGTATTTGTCTCTTAAAATGGCTGTGCATTTTTCAAGGGAATTGTACTCGTGAAATATAAGATTTTTGGAGTTTGAGTTTGGCCATAATACATGTCATTTCATTATCCTACAGTGTTAAAGGCGGGAAAATATTTCTGACATAAATATAGGTGTGTATAATGAAAAGTTGTGATGGCTGTTCAGTTTGTGGTGCTTTGAAGACAACAGAAGGAAGGTCACTGACAAAGAGAGGCTCAAAAATGTTTGTACTGCAAACATGTATATTAAGGTGTGTTCAGTGTATGATGCCGATATAAATTGGCTTATGTTGTGCTAATACAGAAGCTGCAGCATTGCAAAGGTGGTACATTTCAGGAGCTACTGGTAAATTGCTCCATTGCTTTTTAAGGGTAAACTAGAAACAAATCAGCACATGCCTATATTAGCAGTGTGGTTGTTCCCTTTGAAAAACAAGGGAGTGCCATTAAGTTAAACTTGCTTCTTCTGTTGTGGGATAGCTCTGTGCTGCACAAATACTATATCTCCAACTGCATTTATTAATTTTGCCACTTAAAACAGTATCTTAAAAGAGTTATTTTTTTCTGCTGTTTGTTTAGGGTTGATTTAGGAAGGATTGTAGAACACTTTAGTAGATTAGGTGTGTTAGCTGAAAAGCTGACGAGAAACAGTTGTTCTGGTAATACTTTGTTAGGATCAGAATATGTCAGGAGTTTGGAAATTTGGCTTGGGAGTCCTGAACATTAGCCCTGAACCAACAGATTTCAACAGAAATTAGATATCCATAACTCACTCACCACATTTATTTGAGATTTGCAGTTTATTCAATGATAAAACATGAAAATACCAAATTTTCATGGCATCATGAACATTTCAAATACATGAAAGTTCCCAGGGTTCTGTATACTGATTTACTTTTACAGATTAGGTCTGCTGTAGTTAGATGTTTTTCATGCTAAGGATAGCAAGCTGTTGTTCAGGATAGTACATACAAATTTGATTCGTTGATTTGATTGTGAATAACTTCAATGGACGGTATTATCTTTTAATCTATAATTGCAATTTAATGTACAGTATACAAAGTTTAGCTCACCTTTATCTTTTCATTGATATTTAATATGCAGCCATATATTTGTTGTTCTCAATTACAAGGGGCGCAATATTCATGGCTTTATAGTAAGGCACCTCTACAATTAAATAAAAAAATATGCTTATTAGAGTAGGTAACATTTATCTCACAGCACGGACATATACTTTTGAAGTAATTGGGCGGAGAAGTGGCTCTGTGGCTGGAAGGTTGCCGGTTCAAATCCCACAGCCGGCAGAGGAATCCTACTCCGTTGGGCCCCTGAGCAAGACCCTTAACCCCAACTGCTCCAGGGGTGACCCTGCGCTCTGACCCCAGGCTTCTCTCTCCCTGTCTGTGTGTCTGTGTGTCTCATGGAGAGCAAGCTGGGGTATGCGAAAAGACAATTCCTAATGCAAGAAATTGTAAAGGGTTAATAAAGTGATGTTATTATTATTAATTTTAAAATGTACTGTCTGTGACTGTGCTTAATCTTTTTTTGCTCTTGAAACTTCCTGCTGTTATTCCAACAACGTAAAGCTGGCACAAGCTGTATATATATAGAATGTCTTTCTTGTTAGATGACATCATGCTTCTTGATCAGCTGCCCATCTCTAATATGTGTATTTAATATGTGCTAGAAGCAATTTTAGATAAATATTATGAAACAGAATCCCTTAACAATTAAAGCATAGCTTTATTAATGCAATTAAATGAGATGTAATGTATCTAATACCAGCTTTATGATTACTGTGATAGTGTGTTCTGGACCCAGCTGTGTAATTTATTTGTGAATCTCAATGCTTTGCTTCTTTAAATACATAAAAAATATTAAAGCCTTTAAGAAGATTGAATTTCACAGTAAATAAGGATATTTTCCCTAGAGTCGTTTTTGCTTACATTATTTTCTCATTTCCCTAATCGTCTTCATTACAAAATATTGATATTGTTGACTCTCACTCTTATTCTCTGACTATGAAAAGTAACCTCCTTATTTTATTAACCAGCCAGTTCTTTTTATATCCAGTTGTTGGCTGTAGTAGGTGAGCATCTGCCTTTTCCAGTGCAGACAGATTCGTGCGGAAGGGGCTGTGTGCCTGAAGGAGATGTGGTGCTGGGAGTGAGAGGCCTCTAGGAAGACAGATGAATCAGAGGCTATGGCTGAGCAGGGAAGATAGCGTGAAGATACTGAAGTTTTGGCTCCTCACTACAAAAATTAAAAATAGCATTCGGTTTTCTGCTGGGTGAAGGCAGGGGGGATTTGGGTGGTGTCTGAGATGTTGCTAGGAACAACATTAATTCTCCTGGGGCCCTTTGCCAGTGAGCTGTTTGAGTTCAGGCAAGTCCATTTCATTAAAGGTGGTTTGCACAGTAGTTACAGCTACAAGATTTCGAAATAGAAATCCTCTAAATAGAAAGAGCTTAGAAGACCTACATACTGTTGCTGCCCT